ATTCTTCAATATTGCCTAGGAGTAAAATTTAATTATATGAGACATTCAAGAAGATACTTTGGCTATTTTGATAAACTTGGTGTTCAAGAAAAATTGAATGTTTCCTGGCCCTGTGTGTAGTGAATTGATCACGGGCAGCAGACACTACAGTGTTGCTGGACTGGTTACAAAAGGAACCTTGGATGCTGTAATGGTAATCTTGTTTCTACTCTGTTTTGGGTAAACACACATTTTCTGTAAATATTTGTACCCAATGGAGATGTCTCCTGGGAAAAGTTGGGGTGAAGGAAAATTCTGAAGATTTCATTTTATTGAAAGCCAGAGGTAACTGGTGGGGGGAGTCTAACACACAATTTCATGGAAAGATGGGACATGGGGTGGGGTTCTCTTGTAGTCTCTGAAGGAAAACTTTGGGGAAGATATTTGGCGAATTTGACAGATGGCTTTACCCCTGCACTGTTTCGTGGGAAATGTACTGTAAATGTTGGGGGGGGATGGGATTTTTGCGCTACCTGAAAGTTCCAGCGTTACAGAAACCTGAAAAGGTGAAAATCAGATGTGCAAAGATTACGGGCATCTCTCTTCTATCTAGGGAGGCTCAGTGAGTCACTGCACATAAGAGCTCTGATTGTTTACATAGTCCTTCGAGAAAATTCAGAAGAGAAATCATAGAGGAAATGAGGAACCCGGTTTGTGAATTAAAAATACAGTCTGAGGCTATTTTATCTGGCTGAATATACACAAAAGGACAGAAAAAAATTCTAGAAATGAAATAGCCTTACCTCAAGTGATCCAAATAATGTTTTTTGTTTTATTTTTAAGTGAGAATTTTATGCCAGGAGCCTCCTGCTTCTCTCTTCGCATCTTCCTTGTGTTTTACCCTCTGCTTTTCTTTTTCAAAGGAAAAAAATGGAAGCTCAGAAATCATTCCCCACATTGGTTTTGCAAAAGCTCATGAACAGTTCTTACATCACAGATTTTGTTTGGCACCACTGCAAGTACATTCAAAGACAGCCTTCTGAAGATGGATGCTCTTTCCCTAACTGTTTTTCCCATTCACCTGCTATTTTCCACCTCCAGATTCCAAGATTCTGCGTTTCTGAAGGCTCCATAGTGCTTGCTTGGTTATGGCTCCATGCAGGCAATAAATAAATAGATAGATAGATAGATAGATAGATAGATAGATAGATAGATAGATGATAGATCTGAAGGCCAAATTACCCTGAGGAGGTGGAAAGCAGGTGATTAGGTTTGAAAGAACTTGAATAGAGGGGTGTATGTTAATTACATTCTGGTTGCTGAACTGAAATGGGCATATTTAGATGAGTGAAGGCTTTTTTTTGTTTTTGTTTTTGTTTTTTCAAGAGGAATTTACCCCATCGGCAGCAACCAGTCTCCACCAAATCCAGATGTACTGTCTGGTCCAGCCCCCAGAGTGTTTGCTTCTTGGTAGGGAACACTAGAGCCCCAGCTACACAGTGGAAATGTGGGAAATTAACTAGCTCTGATCTAGCAGTGGAGGCTACCTATGCCCCCCACGTCCCCCTCCATGTGCCCCCCCTCTGTCACCCTCCCCGTGTGTTGCAGACCAGACGACAGCATCTCGTGGTAGAGGCAAAGTCTCGCGCAAAGCTCTGCCAGCCCTCGCGGGGCCCCGCCCCCTATTGCTGAGGGTCACTACCCAGTCCCACTGACGCGGGGGAGTGCGCACGACTCCTTGCCTGCAGCAGTAAGCTGTGCACAGAGCCAGAGACACCTCGGGCTCTGAGGCGCGCTGGGACCTGGACGGACTGGCGGCTAGTCCGCTAGTCTGTCTTCATCTCTCCTCTGCCTGAGCAGCACACTGAGGCTGGTAGGCTCCTGGCTTTCCAGTCCTTCTCCGGATAGAATGTTCTGAGGTAAGTCTCAACATTTACAGGAAAGACTGGAGATATCTGGGGGTGAGCTGCTGTTGCTGCGTCTGATACCAGGTAAACAGGGAAATGGGCAGACTACCCATGTAATGGAAGGGTTTTGGGGGCATGCTATGGTATCCCCAAGTCCATGCGCCGACAGCCCCTAGTCCTCAACCTGTTTGTTTGTTTGTTTGTTTGTTTTTCAGGATGCATTTCTTCCACAGGTTATCCTCAAGCGCAAAATACTGAATTCTTAAGAGCTCTGGGTGAATCCCTAGACTTTCCCTCCTGATTTTTGTTTGTTCCTATCAGCAGGGATCCTGGCACTCCTGAAAAGTGGATATCTGCTCCAAAACCCTCTGGAAAGCCCTCCTTATGCACTACATCCCATCCCATTCTCGTGCTTCTGGGTGTTTTAGCCCCCCATAATGTCTTGCTTCCACAATGAAATGTTGTTGTTGTGGTCCTTGTTGTGGTGGTGATTTCTTGCGCGTCAAAGTACACTCAAACTGTAAGCTTGACCTCGCAACTGCCAGTTTCAGAGATGGAGGGTCACTGTCCCACCCCCACCGCCGAGCCCACACCATCCTCCCCATCTCACTCTCCAGGCAGAAAGTGGGCTGGAAAAGACTGCGGTCAGGGGCTAAGTCTTCTCCCACGGGAACCCTTTCACTGCTGGAATCATTTGCTCCATACCTGGGGAGGGGGGCCCCAGCATTGGATAGGGTTGAATCAGTGTTCACCATCCTTTCTGCCCATAAGACAGAAAAGAGCAAATCTCTGTAATTAGAACTATAGATTCTTAGTTTCCAGGGTGTTGCTGGAGGTTAAGGGGTGGTCACCAATAGCAACCACCCTTAGGAGTCTAAGAGGTTTCTAGATGACGCAGTTCCTTAAAGCCCCGCCTTCCTGAAATTTGAGGAAGGGGCTTTGAATGAAATTATCTATTCCTCTCCACTGCCCCCTTCTGATCATTTGGCTAAAGAGAAGTCATGCTGGGGAGAAGTAGTTCTTCACAAAATAAATAATCTATTTTTTTTAAATCCCTTCCCCACTTTATGGTCTAGAAAATGCCAGAAACTGCTTGGAGCTCCCTCCTCCTCCCCCATACTTCCCTGAAACGAAGGGAGGGGCAGAGGCTCAAACCTTTAAGGCCCAAAGCTTGGCTCATTTAGATGCTATGTTGGGGTAGCCCTTGCTTAGAGGAGCCACCCACCATAGCTTGACCACCCCTAGTCAGAATGGAAATGTAGGGAATATATGGGGTTAAAGGGATCCCTAACCTTAGCATAAGGATTTTCCTTGTTTGCCCCATACCACAGTATTATTGAGGATGGCTCCCACTATGCAGTTCCACCTGAAACTGGTTATTATAGCCTAGGCTGTCCTCAAGCTTATGATCTTTCTGCCTTCACATTTCTGGTACAGGAATAGCAAGTGGGGAGCATTCTGTTTGGTTAAATAATATTTGTGATTTAATTGTGGAGTATTGGATATGCAACCCAGTTCTTCAGGCATGCCAAGTGTCACTCAGCTACATTCCCAATTTTCCATAGTAAATTTTGTGGGGTGGAGGAGACAAGAAAGAGCTGGGAAGTAGAGAGGAAAAAAGAAGGAAAATCTGTGACCCCTCCCCAGTATTACCAATATTACAAAGAGCACTATATTTTTGTTCTACACAAACATATAACAGAAACATGCAACAAAACATACCATACAAGTACATGTACAGCAGAGAAACTCATCACACAAACACACAGCAAGCAAGCATACCACACAAACACACACAGGTGTTATTGAGAAAATGCACTCTGTACAAGTCTGCATTGTGGAAATATTGTAATGCTACGTATGAGTTCACATAAGAAACAGAACATAACTTCTAAAACAAATCAGTCACACAAAACACATGTACGTAAATGTTCATGCACAACCTCCGTAGACATGAACAAATAACCAAACACTTCACATACACACCACACACACACACACACACACACACACACACACACACAACCATTTTCTCCCTTTTGGCCAGAACTTACTTGCTTAAGAACAACAATAAAAACAAAAAGGTTTCCAATATAAGGAAAGACAGAGATTTTTTTCCATCATGAGGAAGGTGTTTGAATGGTATACATTTTTTCATGCATGTTAATGGAATCTTTCCCACCAACTTATGAAATATATGTAATTGCCATTGGGTAGTTGGAGAACCCAAGGAAGAAGTGCTTCTAAGTATTTGGTTCTATTTTTGGTTGACACGATGACTATGCATATTCATGGGTTAATTATCACATTTTGAAAAATGTACACAATGCAAATTTATCAAACTTTGGTGATTGGTATACATTTTATCTCACAAATTTACCATTTCTTTATAGTGAAAACATTCGAGGGTCTTTCTAAAATTTAGAAATATGTAACTAATTTTTGTTAGTCATAGTTATTTGCACAGTCATACTGCAAGCTAGTGACAGGAGTGGGTAGTATAGAAATCTAAAGTAAATCTTGCTTTAAGATTTATAGTCTCTGACATCCTACCCTTTTACATGTATGTAAAGATGCACGTTATTAAATAGGTGTCAGCTCCTGCAGTTGGAGACTAGTCATCTATTTGAAAGCCTATTTCTTCTGGGTTGATCTTTTTATTTATGTAACAGTCTCAGTACAAGTCAAAGCATTCAAAGACCTCTTTGCTTTCACAAGGCAAGGTAGCAAGGTCAGACTCCCATAACCCTACAAATTTATGGCAATAATCTATAGAGTTACCTATTCTGTTAGACTGCAATACTGCAACTCTGATTAGGCATTGATTACTAAGCAATTAATTAATGGAATATGTATTAGAAGGCAGTGACTCATTTAGGCAAGATTTATGCACTATCATGGTAATAAAACAGGCTGGTATAGCTATCATTCTATATTGGTGATCTAATTGGCTTCACAGGATTTCATCATCTTAGTGAATGTGGGCTGACTAACAAGCCTGCTGGCTTCTCTTCTCTTATAAAAAGATGAAGATCTTAGATCCTTGCTTCTTTGAACTCATTATTCTATAAAATGCTAAAGTATTTAATCCTCTCCATTTTAGGTGGAACCAGAAGTTTCTTTTTGTGAGGACTTGGAAAGGAACTTCATCGTCTGTATCCTTTCTGGTCTCTTGAGACCTGTCAAATTTTTCTCCCTAAACAAAAATGAACACCTCTTTACTGTTACAAATGGAAGGTTTCATTGATAGTCTCGGGCAAAATGTCAGCTGTGTTCCACTCATGGAGGATCAAAGTTGCAATAACACAAATCTGAATGCAACCAATGTTTCCAGTACAGAATGGGGAGGACCACCAGGATCAGTAAGGAAATGGTTAGGGGGCAATCCCCACATCATGGCCAAGATTGTGCTGTCTTTGGCTTATGCTGTCATCATAATGATATCTCTCTTTGGCAACTCCCTGGTATGCCAAGTTTTTGTCAAGCACAAAGAAATCAAGAAGTCAACAGGCCTTCTCATCTTCAATCTGGCGATATCTGACATTTTGATAATCATGCTCAACAGTCCATTTGCTGTGGTGAGTGATTTATAGAGTTGCTCCACCTTAGGGGTGGGTGATGGGACTAAGAAAATCAAAGAGAATATGCCTGCATCGAGCCTCCATTCTAGACTCTAGCTTCTCTTCAATGTTTATGGACAATATTTTAATAAACAACCTTCCCCCTTTTCTTGATTTCATACCCTAGGCTCGTTTCCTGACTGGACAGTGGGTATTTGGTAGGATCATGTGCCATGTGAGTCGCTTTGCTCAGTACTGCTCCCTCCATGTTTCAACTCTTACACTGATGGCAGTTGCCATGGACCGGCACCGGGTAAGACCACTAGAGGACACTTGAATAAAGGAGCAGGGAATGCAAAGTGGCCAGGAAAGTTAGATACCTCGCAGAAATCTACAGGGTGGAGCCATATTTGAGAATAAAACATGTTTGTGGACTAGCTAGACACTTCTCCCCGCTGCCATACATACTCCTACAACTGGATACCATTTCAAATTTCAGAGTTTCAACTCATATGTATGTTTTATGCATTGTCTCTTTTCCCTCTAAACTGCCTTCAGTCCATCTGTGTTCATATTGGAATGATGTTAATTAATAATGCAAGGAAACTCTTTAATCCAGTCAGAAACTCATCAACCTGTGTCTGATTATGCAAACCACACTGACCTGAGCTGATTCAGGAAGGCTGTTGTTTGTCTTTTGTAGGTAATTCTGCACCCAATGAAACCAAGGCTGACACACTCCCAAAGCCTCGTGCTTGTTGCCGTGATCTGGAGTATTGCAGTGTTCCTCGCTCTTCCACATGCAATTTACCAGAATATGTTCACTTTCATCGGCCCGTAAGTCAGACATGATGGATAATTTCACCTGTTCTCTTTCCCAAGGCTCTCAGGAAGTTGACATTTGTAATGCTTTTTACTTCATTTTCATCCATTCCCCATTTTCCTGAATAGAAGACATGGTGTCATTTTCTAATTCTAATGTGTTAGTGGAACCAAGAGGATGGGTCACCAAATTAAGATCACTGGAAATGAAGAATTGTCCTGTCTACAGATTGATCTATACCTAGACTAGGTCCATAAGAGATGATATTTTAGTACATCTCCTTATTTTTAAAATTTAAGAAATTACACCTAAGGTTTCAAGGGACTGGAAATGGTTATGGACATAGGCGAAAAGTAGTTGTAGAAGCTTTCTGGGGTCCTTTCAATTGGTCTTCTGATCATAACTTTTGTTCTGCTTTCTTCCAGGGATGGTACTGAGAGGAGCTACTGCCTCCCTGCCTTTCCTGGACCCAGCGCATTGGTTTCGAAATATGTGGACCTTGGGACATTTGTCTTATTGTACATCCTCCCACTCATAGTGATTGTTGTAACCTATTCTCACCTAGGAAAGAGGTTGTGGATCCAGAATGCTATTGGTGATGCGTCTGCTCGTCAACTTATGGCACACTACCAGAAGAGGAAGAAGAGCATCCGGATGTTGATCCTTATTGTGTTGGTCTTTGCAGTTTGCTGGTTTCCACTTAATTTCTATGTGGTTCTTATTTCCAGTGCAGGAGTAGAAAACAACAGTGTGCTTTTCTATGCCTTTCACTGGTTTGCAATGAGCAGCACCTGCTACAATCCTTTCATCTACTGCTGGCTCAACAGAAGCTTCCGTGCCAAACTAAGATCTATAACATCTTTCAGGGTGCAGGCACTGTTTATGTGTGGGAGCTCCCAGGTTCAGCATATAAAGCCAAGGGAGAGTCTTGAGCTTCGGGAACTCAAGACATCTTCACTGTTACGAGTTCCCCTGGCTGTTCCAGAAGCTCCAGTATTTGAGGATCCCAGTTTGGCTACAGGGGATAATTCCCAGGTTTCTGTTCAAGGGGAGTGGGAAGAGCCAGATCCCTCCCCAGATGAGCAGGCAGCAGCAGTGGTGGTGGTGGCAGCAGCAGCGGCAGCAGGAGCCGCAGCAGGGCCCTCAACCCAGGATGCTTACTTTTGCATCCACATGCAGACTAGCAGTCACTAAGCTGAGCACCCATTTTACCCATAGGAATCTTGTTTAATGAGTACTTTGGCACAGACAATTTAGTCAGAGATGGCATAGCCTATAACTTAGATGTTGAGTAGAGTGTTTTACTATCATGTGCACCCTCACAGATCCATCTCTTTGAATCTTGTTATGGTTTGAGTCTCAGATCTGGCATCAGAACTCTACTTGATAAGTCCACTGTGCCATAATGTGGATAACTTACTGTGCCAGACCCTGAAGGAACTTGTTGATTTACTTACCTAACTTACTTTGCAGATGAATTTATAAGAACTAGATTTCCTGAGAAAGATTCTTTCTTGGCCTGTGGTTATTGCTAGTAGTGATAGTGAGATGGAGGAACTGTGATTGAAAGAGATCTGTGTAAAGAATTTACTAGGAAGACTAAGCGCTAGCCTCTCTGTGCCATAGGAACACCCTTTTCTTCACTGCCCTTGTGCACCGACTTGGTGCTCCCATATAATTGCTTTCTGTGTCAACTTAGTCTGAGGTAAATACTCATGTTAAAGAACAAGATATACTCGTGAGCACCTCTGGATTTCTATTTCCCCACCTTTGTAAATGTGACTCTGTAAACTCAGTCTACAGATCTTTGATTTTAGAGTGATTTCCCCAGCTTCAGATATCCTCTCTTGTATATAACTGTGGACTTTATCTGGAAGAACTACTTGGGTTTGTATTAGTTAATTTAAGTAGTGTATACTGGCATATGTGTTCTCTGATGAATTTATTGACCTTTCCTATCAGAACTGGCCATCTGAGTTGACTATTCACTGACTTGTGGTCATACCATTCTCCCAATATTTTCAAGACAATCAGATCAGCATCTCCAATCCTCCTTCCAAACTATTCCCTATCAACTATGATTTGTTGCATCTGACATGACATAATCAAGTGCATAAATGCACACACATACATACACTTTTATGTTAACACAGGTATAAGCATGTATATATTGCTACTTGTTACCTCTCATGCTATCCACCTGCCTGGTGCTCTCACTTATTTCTACCTGTAAATTTCATGCTAACTGAGCCTAGACAAGATTTCATGCCTTAAAGTGAAGTCTTGGAGGCTCTGAGATTGTGGCAACGTCTTGCCTCTGGAATCAGCATTTCTTTACAGTTGGTGCTTCACTTCTTTGTTTGACTTTATTTTATTTTTGGATGTTGTGTATCTCCCTGTGAAAATTGTACAGATTCATAACATAATTTGTGCTCTTATATGCTAATTCCATTCCTTTGCTATTTCTAAGCTTTTCTCTGACTATATCAAGTTATCACTTATCAGTAGCCTTCATTTTATTTCCCTTTCTCATATACCCATTTCAACTCAATTCACTTTAATTAATATACTATATTCTTTTTTATTAATTTTTTCAGTCTCACACATAGGTGTGTTATACACTCCCTTTCAGAAGTACCTTCATAAAACACAACACTGGTTCTCTCTCCTTCCAGCATTTCACCCAGGTGCTCACTTTTCCATATTTGTTTTTTCTGGGATATTTGATCTTGGATTTTGTTTGCTGCCTTAACCAGAAGTTCACAACTTCCTGTGCTGAGGCTCATCATCACTTCACTAATTGAAGCCTCCTCATTTCCGGTGCTTTGTTCCATCATAGACTCTAGTCCTTTCTTTCTGTTTGCTTCCCCTGCATTGCTTTCTTTCTCCCCCACTTCCTCTCACTCTCTCTCTCTCTCACTCTCTCTCTCTCTCTTTCTCTCTTCCTCTCCTTTTCTGTAGCCTCTCCTTTTCCATCCCTCCTTCCCTCCCTCCCTCCCTTTCTTCCTTTCCTCCTTCCCTTGGTGTTGATCTAAGTCTATACTAATTCATTATATTCTCTTTCTGGTTTTCCCTGTACACAGATCTCCCTCTTTTAGTTTCTTTCCTTTTTTGTCACAGACATTCCCTTCCTACCAAGGAGAATGAACATTCTTGTTCTTGTGTATTATTTTGGCTTAGAAAAATCCATCAGAGGGCACCATGTGCAAGGATATTGAGAAAAGTCTAACAGTTTCCTTGAGATTTCAGCATTCCTTAATGAGATTGTTCTTTCTAGCTGAATTGTTTGCTTATGTTTCCTTTGTGAATAGCTATAATTTAATATCTGATTATAAATGTAGGCATTAGTATCTGCTTATAAATTTAAGAATTGTATCATTGTGAACCGATTTCAGCTAACTTTATGTAGAAGACAATTTTATTCATGGCCACAAACTACCTTAGATATGGGACCTTTGATGATTTAATTGATTTACTTTAGCAGAGAGTGAATGGCTCCAAGAAACCGTTACTGAAAGAAATCTAACACATATTCAATTTGTGTGATAGAAACAACATGTATACTATTAAAAGCACTTTGTGCTTTGATTTTGACGTAAGGCAAGAAAGCTCTATTATGGAAACAAGCCCAGGACTCAGACTAATGGGACAAGGACTTCTTTGTTCTTGAGTCAAGAATTTGTGTGACCATAGGCAAGTCATGTGGCCTTAGTGTGCCCCAGTTTTCTCATCTATAAAAGGTGGATAATACCTACTACCTTATAGGGCTATTGTAAGAGTTATCTGTGATAACAGGTATTATTATTGTTAATAGATTCATTTTCTTGTTACCCACCGTGTGATTATTGCTGTTAATATTACTCTAATTGTAAATGTTCCTACCTTTATTGTTAAATTAATATTGTTAAATTGATATTGTTGTGCTCACCTTGAAGTGCTGACCTGTATATAACTCTGAAGGCTATGCAGATATTTAAGAAAAGATGACTTGATGTATCTCATTGGGGAAAAAGAGAAGCTTCTGCTGCCTGTTTAGATTACTTGAAACTACGTTGGGCAGAATACTGCTGAGTGGAAAGAGATTTCCAGAGCAGAGACACTTGTTGAGTTCTAGGCGACTGAACAAAAGAAGCACAAGCCAAGTAATAGGGAAATGAATAATTTTGAGTTAGTCTGTTAAGTAGGTTTTTCATTATTTTAGCACTTCTGCTCTGAGAAAAGTGGCAGATAAGAAATCAAAGGACAAAACTTGAAAGAGGTAAAGTGTTTACAAAGTATAGAAATGACACAGGGTTTCTATTCTGAATTGTCATCTCTTTTCTAAGAACTTTTATTTATGAGTCAATGTAATTCTCAATAATTGTATTACATATTTATATTTGTTAATGTTTTAAATATCATAGTAATATATTAAGTGTAATAGTTCTCATTACGGTGCTCTTCTAAAGTGTGCTTAAAGTGTTTTATGGTGTTATATTTAACCATTTTCCTGCCAAAATAGTCCGCAAACTGCAAAAAAAGAAAAAAGAAAAAAAAATACCTAAGTTTTACTTATGCGTGCTTGTTTATATTGAACACTGAAACTCCCCCAAAAGAATGAATATTGATGTTGAACTTTGGAACAGTATACTACTGCAGTATGTATCTAAAACAGGTTACAGTTGATGGAAACCCTTTACCTAGACACAGCAACTGTTTCTGAAATTGTCTTACTTGACTAGCAGCAAGAATGAATTATGAAGTTCTGGGCCTCCACTCGGCAGCTCTGTTCAGATAATCTGGTCAAAAGGACAGAGGGGTCAAATTAAGGGTTTAGATTTAGCTGACTGTGATTATAGTGTGTCAGCTGGGTTTTGTACTTGAGTATATTTTGACTGGAATACTTTTTCAGTGTTTGAAACTACAAACCTTTGTGAATACTTTGTGACTATGTATGTGCTCAATTAAAATTAAATAAAGTTAAAGTCAATGAAAGCTGTTTCTTCCTTAATGCAGACATCTCCCCCCCCCATACTATTTTAGGCTCCAAAAGAGCAATTCAGTAGCCTAAAAAGAACATATTGATTTTAGAAGCAACAGCCTGTGAATTAAACTTGATTAAACAGAACCTCTTCCTAGCATGGTCACATCGTTGCTGCAGGAACAAGCATGTGGAATTAAAAGTGCTCTAGGGACTGTAGTTTCTCCAACTACAGTAATGGGTACATTTCCAAAAGGTAGGGAATGAGAATAAAGGATATCATAAAGAAATGGTCAGGGGGGAGGTGACACAGCAATTATAGATAATGATTACACTTTTGCACCTTTCTAAACATAACACTGTTGGTTCTTGTTGAGAAGTGACCACATGGAAGGCCAATATGAGGGAGATTGATTGGTCATTAGGTCATTAGGATAAGGTGGGGTGGGATAATAGAATCTTGGGGAAATATACAGGTTAGAAGCTAGAAACTGTGTCTGAGTGACTGAATACAGTTAAAGAAAGGAGGACTGGACTGTTATATCAATGGACCAAGCAGCTGCTGCCAGCTCCTGGATCTCTGATCCTCATTTGCTCTGCACAAGTGTGAACTCCCACAAATGGACTTGGGTACCAATTGCTGCTGTTTTCCAGCTGCTGGAACTATATCACCCATAGATTAGGCAGTGAACTGCCCACAGGACAGACACTGCCAATTAGTTTCTCCCATGAATTAACCCCGGTGACCACCACTACCGTCTGTACTTCCACTGTCCCAACTGCCACCATCGCAGCCACCCCACTGATCAGTATTGTTTCTGTCAGTGAAACAGCCTCAGAGGAAAAGGTAATAAGGCTATTGAAATCAAACATGGAGAGTATACATGAACATTGCAATCAAACAAATGTAAATATATAAAATGAGATACCAAATAATGGTTCCATCAAACTCCAGTAAGAGTTTGTCAAACCAATGCACTAATTTGGTTTAGAGAACACAAGCAAGAGGTTACAGTACTTACTTGAGTGTGTATGACCCCAAGCAGCTGCATTACCATATAGTTGCAGCCCATCGCAGAAGCTGAATCATGAAGTCCCCTTATAGTTATATTTTTCCACTTTCTATATACCATAACATCTTCTAAGACCACGAGCAGCTAGAGGAGTTGTTGTCGGCAAAGTTATGGGGTGGAAATCCATGAGGATCCCAAGCCCTCTGTTCATCTACTCAATATTGTCAATAGTTCTATTACTGTTACCATAAATCTAGTTATTACTATTCTTTTTCTTAATTATTTGCCATGGACACCTGGAAAAGATATTGTCTATCTAAGATGGCACCACATTATGCCTGAAAGGATATGGCCGTACTTCAAGACTGTATCCTTATCCTCAACCTCTTACAGTCCTTTAACCCCCTTTTCTGCTGTGTTCCCTGATTCTTGGAAAGTGTGGCATGTCCATAATCCTTTGGTGAGCATTTGGAAAGCCATGGCCCCTAAACAGTCACTTATTCTCAATGCTTTAACTAGTTATTATTCTTTCTAATAGCAAATACCACTCACTATAAGAAGTTCTCCACCAAAGCAAACGGCAGCAGTACTCTATGAGCATAAATATAGATGTTCAAAAGGCAATTAGACAGGCATATCACATCAATTAAATAAAAGCAACAAATAGAAGTTGCTTCCCTACTGGGAATTTCCCAGCTGTGTTTTTCTATCCTTATAGTATTAAATGTGAATTCTCTTTTCTGGAGTGGACCTCACCTTCAAACAGAAGGTGGATTGTTCTTGCAAAATTTCATGACAGTGTTTCACCAGCTGGCACACCTTTCCATAGGGAATATTACATTTCAATAGTATAACATGCAGAAGATAGAGCTGAGTAGGACTGTTTGTAAAAAAATCTTTCCCAGTAGCTTCCATTGCCCATTCTGTCACAATTATAGCCATCTAGTAGCTAGGCAGCTTAGAGCTTGTTCCCAGTCTAATTTCTCTATGTCCTGAAACAAAAGTGTGTGGCATCTTCAGCAACAGAGTCTTAATATTTAGTTTTGGCATACAAAAAAAGAGCGATGGCAACAATCTTTGTCATTTTGAGGTTCTCTGTGGATCATTTGGCCAAAAACCCATAGGAAGGTAGTCTATTCCTGGCACCGTGTTCCTCCTTTAACATTATGATTTCTGGGCGTGCTAAAAAGTCACCCATATAAGATACCTCCATCCACATTTTAAATCTGCTGTTTTATTGTTTTTCCAGGAACTTTTCTAGATCTATGTTTTAGATAATATTTCTACTGCTGTGATTTTTTAAAAAAGCCAAAACATGACCAAAAGCATATTAGGGGGGAAAGGATTATTTCAGCATACAGTTACAAATCACAGTCCATAATAAAAAGAAATCAGGGCGCCGGGCGGTGGTGGCGCACGCCTTTAATCCCAGCACTCGGGAGGCAGAGGCAGGTGGATCTCTGTGAGTTCGAGGCCAGGCTGGACCGACAGCCTCCAAAACAATACAGAGAAACCCTGTCTCGAACCCCCCCCCCCAAAAAAGAAATCAGGGCAAAAAATTCACAGCAGGTACCCGGAGGCAGGAATTTATGCAGAGGTCATGAGGGAAGTACTATTTACTGGTTTATTCTCATGATTACCTGCCAGGGGTGGCACCACCAACAATAAGTTAGATCATCACAAATCAATCAGCAATTAAGAAAGTGTCTCACTGCCAGTGGCTTCATAGTCTGCCCAAGTCACCCAACTGACATCCACTTTCAGCAGGACTAGTTTGGCCTTATACAGATTCTCTAGTTATCAGTCTGGAGTCCCTGAGCTTCCCCTTGCTCAGGTCAGCTGTTTTTGTGGGTTTCCCCAGCATGCTATTGACTTTTTTGCTCATCACTCCTCTCAGTATTTACACCTAGTGCATGACCTGGCTTTTTGG